TTGACCTCTCAGCTGACTGAGCTACCATTCAACACAACACCTTAACCGCTCACGCGATCTCGAGCTGGCTCTCAGTGTTTTTCAGCCAATCATGAACACTTAAAAAAAGAACAAATATGTTAGGGTGTGTCTGGGGCCACACCTAGAATTTGTAATTATTAGTACTGCTACTCGTCTTTCATTTTTATAATGCTGACACACCTTCGGAGGTTCGTCACTCTGGGATCTGATGCTTCACCCCTGTCATTGTACGGCTCATATTAGCTCTCATCTTTCCTCTTTTCCATCCTCACAGACCTTTTATATCCTACTAACACCATCTGTCGCTACAAAGAGGTTACTGCAGGTTTCCGTAGTATCACTGTGTACTGTATGTTCTCCGTGGGATATTTTTAATAGTGTTTTTTTTCAGTATGTGTTTGATGACAATGTTTTCAAAAAAGGGAATAAAATTATTTTTAAAAAAGTCTCTTTATTAATAATCATGATTTTCTATATTTATATTTTCCTATATTTACCCAACATTTGTACAAATATTCACTACAAATGGTGCATCGAGGGAAACCGCTGACATTAGTCACAGCCAATCTCAATAAGAACGCCAGGCTTTGAAATTTGTGTAACATTTTTGCTTTTTCTCACATTTTAACTGTTCCTGAACTCCAAGGAGTCCCCGAGTATTCCTCTTCCTCTTAGGCTACGTTCACACTGCAGGCGAAAGCGCATCAAATCCGATTTTTTGGACCCTATGCGACCCATATCCGATCATGGTATGACAGTGTGAACGGCACAAATCCGATATTTTCAAATCCGATCTGGGTCACTTTCGTATATGGTCCTGAATCCGATACATATCTGATGTTTTAGAAAGCGATTGCTGTTTGAACGGTCATGTCGCATTAAATCCGTCTTTTACGTCACTGACACAAGACAGACGCCGATTATCAGCTCCGGAGAAGACATCGCAAACGCTTCCTGGCCATCCAGTGTAGAGGTCACTGAAACTGTTGGGAAGACAACGTTGGGGAAACGTGAACATTTTATTTTCACGTATATTTTATGTACTGTATAATCTGCAACTATCCTTTGAAGCAGCGCTCCTCTAAAACAGCAATAAGGATAATTATTAGGTTATCTACATTATTATGTAAATAACTGAAGGAAACGGTTTCCAGGGCCTAATCCGTGGATCGGCTTCCTCCGAGGCGTGGACGTCTATCAGCAGAGAATGTCCCTTAGTCTGTAACACAGTCAAATATATTCTCAAGTAATATTCAAGCATGCCATTCAGCGTGTTAGTACGAGCTCGGGAGCAGCTTGGGAGAACAAGAAAACAGAGACTGCTTCAGATTGTCTTCCCAAATCGACTCAACTTTATTCACAAGTACAACAGTTTATATAAAATTCATGAGACAGCAGATTTATCAGTTTAAACCAGTACAGACCAAGATAAGGCAGCGTCTTCCTGCCCTTGGGTGAAGAAGCATCCTTTGTGTAGTGTATCAGTTCAGCTACAATTGTGATTATCTCAGCGACATATTTTCAAGGCACAAAACGAAGAGTTCTTTCATTAGTGAAATCTGAAACAAACCATTTGGCCTCAACAGGCGTCTCCTAAAAGATTAAGAAACTAATGTAGCTGAGGGAGTGATCTCTGTGGTATTTCAACCTTGTACCAGCCTGTGATTCTCACACATCAATTCTTGGGTCAAAGAGAAAAATAACTAAAACAAAGGGGCCTTATTGAATGACAGAGTTTTCCTGTATAATGTCACTATAAAACAATATCCAGTAAATGCTCCCATGGTACTAAAATACCTAACAATAACAAAATAACTTAAAGCAAAAATTGGGAAACGTAAAGTCCGAAGTCTTTATATTAAGGCCCATCAGTCAAACACACTGTTTGCTCTGGGTCTAAACAGAGCGCGCTGTGTGTGACGTCTTCTTTAGCACATGCGGGCCGCTTTGAGCGTTCACACTAGAGCGCGTTTGCTGTCGCATTTTATTTGTAGTGTGAACGAGGAGACAAAAAAATCGGATTTGATCAAAAAATCGGAATTGAGCATCAAGACCTGCAGAGTGAACGTAGCCTTAGTTTCTCTTACGTAGGCTACGTCATCATGATGAATTTTCATCACTTCCTTGTCATAACAGGAAACTTTTCAAGCTTTACTTTGTTATCTTTACAAACCAATAGGAGCTTATTTAAACAGACTTTTCCTAACATGACAAATTATAACAAGAGTTTCGTTGCCTGAGGAGACTTTCAAAAACATACAGATTTAGTTAGAACAAGAAGCAGAAAAGAAGACAGAGGGTCTCGTTCACTAATATGGGCAGGTATGTATGACCAGAATATTTATTCTTAACACTGCGTTTGTGTTATTGAATCAGTTTTATTCAAAATCCCCACACTTGTGTCCACTCTTGCATAATGTCATGCACCCAGTTCTATATTTATAAGGAAGAACAAATATCTCACGGTGCATCTGGAAGAAAGTGGTGGAGTTTCTCTGAGAGAGAAGCCCGCACAACTAAACAACAACAGCTGGAAGAAACTCCAACAAGTGTCTGAGAAGGACAGCCTAAAAGGCCAACCTTTCCCGAGCTCTTCCTCCAGAGTGCAGATGGCTTAAAAATCCAACTGACGCCGGACTGTGAACCGAGTTACAAACAAAAGACTGATTTGGAAAAAGAGGTTCGTGAATGAGGCTTTTTATGTTACAACAGTCTAGGAGACCATCGGCAACTCTGCCTCCCTCTCTCTGGCCTCTGAGGACAAAGGTCAATATTTGAGCATAGGCTGTATATTATACTTGCAGAAAGCTAAAGGGATGCCACATAGTGATCTGTGACGTCCCAAAATAAAGCCATCTCCATTTTGGTGCTTTGAAACCACACATGACAAGTGACCACCCAAAACCACTGGATCCTGCTTTTTGGGTCTAATGAGGAGGCCAATTTACAAAGTCAACTTCTTTGTATATTTAATAAGAATTGTAGCTGTTATTTGAGCTCATAAACTCATAAGGACAGTGTTTACTGATGGCACAGAGTATAGCGTGAAGTGTACAGGTCTACAGTTTCTGCTCAGATTTATTCCTGCAAAACTGACTGAAGATAAAAATCTTCACAATGCAAAAGACAAATAGTAACAATTTCTTTGATGGCGCTGTCACTTGGTGGAAGCCGTGAGTCCACCTGTATTGTAAAGAGGTAGCTGGTATTATTATTTATTTTGTGAATAAAGTCGCTCCGAGACACACCTCTGCTATCCTGACGTTACTGGAAGGTTTGATTGAGATGATTTCAACAGGTCTTATTCTTTGTGTTGTTAAAACTAAATAGTCTCATGTATACTGTTTTTTGGGCAATCATGGCATATGTTTGTTTACTGTTTGCAAATGTTACATATATGATTGAATCTGTTAAGATATAAAGAATTTCCAACGGTAATCATGAGCAGATTAATCGTAGTGTTAACATTACTGCACAGAAATATTGTTGATGCTGGACAGCAGCAGAATTTATTGTAAATAAGGAGACAATCAGAACTGTTATTGTTCCAGGAAGCTGGACCCAGCCCCTCTTATCAGATACCTGCAGGGCATCCCAGACGACTCAGAGCATTTCACACCTTGACCCAACAAACCCAAAAGGGTGAATGGGTGGGTCAACGACTCTGAGGCATCAGGAGAGGTTAAAAACCTGAGAAGTCACCAGAAGGTCTGCAGATGCTGTGCATTAAAATACTGTGACTGCTGACTTTAACTAATTTAATGTATGTACATGTAAATCTTCTGTGTATTTGTGGTGTGTAAAGATTGTAAACAGTGGTGCGTAAAATGTACTTGATTGATATACATTAAAATGATACCACATTTTCCTTAATGATTAAATAAACCCATTTCAGCTACTCAGATTTGTTGCTTCCTGTTGACTGAGGGTGAAGGATCATTTGTTGAGTGTGTGAAACAAACTGCCTTTCACATCAGGACAACATTGGACACTTTTAAAATCTTCCTAAATGTCTTTTACTCGTCTAACTGTGGACGGTTTGGTTAACGGGTGCTGTTTCTTTTAATGTGCTTGAAAGTAAACTTGACTTGGCAACAAAGGAAAACCAGCAGCTGAGGTCAGGACCCAAAACTCCATCTGCACCTGAATGTAGAAACACATCAGAGCACAACAACTGGACCATTATGGCCTGATAAACTTTCACTCATGTGCCTTTAATGTCTCCCACTGCTGTTGGGTGCGTCAGAATTTAACACAAAGGCAAAATGAGAGAATCAACGACTCTCAACGATCCAATCAGATGATTAACTGCCGCTCTGCACCAGCTGTAGAGCCTTTGAGATCTGAGTTGAAAGGCTTCAGAAACTCAAGTCCAGTTGCCTCATTTCAGCACAGTGTAGACCCAAATTCTCAAAATTATTTAACAGATTAATTCAATTATGTTTTTAGAAGCTCTAATCAGCACATGTGACATCAGGCACCACAAGAGGTTGGTGGTTTTTAAGGTTGACCTGTCGATCAACAGACGATGATGAGTTTTCATTCATTCTGTTGTCTAAAACAACTTCCTGCTCACATTAACACGTAGCTGAGGAAATGAAATATTGCTTTTGTGTAAATGATTTAATCACATTAGTACTTGGACTAGTTATAGTGGACAGGAAATATTTACATTCAATGTGATGTCCAGTTACGTTCAACCCCCTGCAGATTTGGAAACTAGGACACTGATACAAATGGATTCAACAGCATCTTTAGCAGAAGAACCTTTGTTCCAGTGATTACATTAACATTTAAGTGTTCACCTTCAGTTCACGGCTGTGGTGTGAAAGACGAGTGAAAGAAGTAACGACAGTTATGCTGGAGTAACTGTTATTGTTCCAGGAAGCTGGACCCTGCCCCTCTTATCAGATACCTGCAGGGCGTCCCAGACGACTCGGAGCATTTCACACCTTGACCCAACAAACCCAAAAGGGTGAATGGGTGGGTCAACGACTCTGAGGCATCAGGAGAGGTTAAAAACCTGAGAAGTCACCAGAAGTCAGTCTGAACCGCAGGACGAGAGGAAAGATGTCTTCAACCATGGGTAAGTCCTGGCTGCCTGCTTTTTAGCACTTAGATGTTCGCTAAACTAAGTCATTCTTATTACAAATGTACAAAGTGATTCTTTTAATTCTATCACTGCTTTCATCATCATCTATTCCTGACCTAACCTAACCTTTCTTCCAAAAAACTTACCAAGTTCAGAAATAACCTTAACATTTATATTGTTCTGAAGGCTTCTTTTTAAAACAAAGTAGAAACATTTTATTTTTAATAGTTGCTGAGATGAAGTGATGCAAACCATCAGCATACACGTGATCTTGTCCTGTATCTTGGTGTTTACCAAAGAAACATCATGCAGGCGGCTTTGCTAATGACAGAAACGTCCAGTTTGAAGCTCCAGTCAGTGTACGAAACGATAACTAACGGCGAGAACTCATTTTCCTAATGAGTAAAGAAACTTTGATTGTGTTTCAGGGCCACACGGAAGAATTTAATTTTGTTTCTCATTGCATTGTTGCTCATACATTTGTGATGCTTGTACCTTTCAGATATTCAGCAGCTGTTACCAATCAAAGAAGAACCAGATGACTGGAGCCCTGATATGGAGCAGCAAGTCTCACAGCTCCTCAGCATAAAGAAGGAAGAGGAGGAGGAAGCTGACATCACTGATTTCCCGCTCGCTGCTGCTGCGGTGAAGAGTGAAAATGAAGAGAAAGTGCACTCACTGTTTCATCATGTTAAAAATGAATACAAGGACGAGGAGGAGACTCAGACCTGCAGCTCAGGTAACAAACAAATTAAATTGAACTATGAAACTGCACCAACATTTTTTCTCTGTGAGGAATCAGGTTTTATATTTTGTCTGCTTCTGTTGTGGCTTTGTTAGTTTCACTTCAGTAATGTTATTAAAATATGGAGGGTATTTTTAGGGCGAGATTTAAGAACAAGTGATGAAATCCATTGAATACAGTCACCTCACTAATTTGATTTGTTTTATTTTAGTTTCTCTTCGTTTTAACTTAGTTGGCTGTGATTCGATTGAATGATGTAACTCTGTGAGATGGGCTTTAGGTTAGAGTCCATTCTGCAGGATACTGGAAACCAGTGTCCCCATACACCCAGCATTTTGGCTTTTTTAAAATATGCTCATCCATCTGTGTGTACCTTGCAGGTGTCCATCATCTGTTTGATATTAAAGAAGAGGTTTCCCATGAACGGAGCCCGATTGAAGACTCGGACTTCTTCCAGGAACGCTGCATTGGCCAGGATGGACTGCAGGAGGATGACACACGTGCAACAGCTCCCAGAACCTTTCCGATGCCAATATTCAGTGTTGCGTCCCGCAATGCATTGCAACGCCTCAAATTTGAACAGAGAGAAAAAATCAAATTCTGCGTGAAAACCAAGATATCTGTGAAGAAAACCTTCCAAATGCTTCAGGAAGTTTACGGCAGCAAAGCAATGAGCCGATCAAGATGCAAGGATTGGTATTTGCGTTTCAAAAATGGCAGAACATCCGTCGATGATGAAATCAGGTCAGGGCGACCCAGCACGAGCACAACTCCCAAGCACATCCGAGAAATTGATCAACTTGTGCGCCAGGATTTCCGGATCTCTCTGAGGGAGATTTCTGCCATTCTCAACGTGTCATTCGGAACGGTCCAGGCGATCCTGACGTCCACTTTGAACCTGCACCAAGTGGCTAACAAGCTTGTGCCCAGGCTACTCACTCCCGAGCTGAAGCAGTATCGTTTACGAGCCTGCGAGGATCTCCGTCAACAGACGCGAGATGACCCAACGTTCATGTCCCGGATCATAACTGGCGATGAAAGCTGGGTGTACGGCTGCAAGCCTGGAAAAGCAAAGAGGGTGAATCCGACAAGGAGCCAGTTCAAGGTCAAGCTCATCGTCTTCTTTGACATTCACGGGGTGGTGCATCGGGAAGTTGTTCCCGACGGTCAGGCGGTTGATGCTCCGTTCTACCTCAGTGTTATGACGCGTCTCAGGAAGAACATCGAGGCCAAACGACCTGAACTGTGGCAGAAAGGCGACTGGCTGCTCCATCACGACGACACACCCGCCCACGACGCACTGAAAGAGTGCCATTATTTCTGCTACACCGACACAAATCTCATTCTTCACCCACAGCACTCACCAGATTTGGCCCCCTGCGACTTCTTCCTCTTCCCCAAAATCAACGCCAAGTTGAGGGGACATTTTTTTGACACAGTGGAAGAGCTCCAGCATGCGTCACTGATAGTACTGGATTCACTGGGAGAAGAGGACTTCCGCAGAGCTTTCAGAGCGTGGCAGCAGCGCTGGGTGTGGTGTGCTGCTGTGCAAGGCAACCGCTTTGCAGCTGATGGTGGCCAGATTTGAATTGAATACATATTTTTGTATATTTGTTTCATATTTTTTGTATTTTTATTTTTTTTTTGCATTAGCATGCATTTTTACTGATGTTTGATCTTGTTACATATAACTTTTTTTATTGTTTAAGTAGAGTGAAAATGGTAGGTGGTACATTGCCGTTGTAAATATGTCAGCATGTGCATATTTACAATTGGATCACTTTATAAAATGTAAATAACAACAGAGCAACAACAAAAAAGAGAAGGATGGGTCTTATTGTCATGATCAGAGCGATCCAATATTAATTCTCCAGATCCTCTGAATCTTTTGATGATAGGTGGTGGTGATGTTTAGATTGGCAAAGTCTTCAGTTTTACATTGATAGTTATTCTGAAACTGTTCCACAACTTTTAGATGTTTCTTGTTGTTTTTTGCAGACTGGTGAACCTTTACTTGAGAAATGTTTTTTTATTCCAGTCATGTTGTTGACCTGTTGCTGTAATTAGTCATGAAAAACTTCCTCCAGCTGTTTATTTTGAGTCCCTCTCGCAGCCTTTTTGAGATGTGCTGCTGCCATAAAAGCCAAACTGAGCGAATGTTTTTCATCTCAGGTCAAACATTTGATGTATTTTGTTGGGTTCTTTTGTGAATAAAAATATGGATTTGTGAGATTTGGAAGTCACTGCATTCAGTCTTTATTTTACACAGCATAGTTTTTAGTTTGTAGTTTGCTGGGCACTGGGAACGTAATAGAATATAATAGAGGGTAGATTTTGCAAGAAAGTGCCTGCTCCCCTCACACTCTTCTTCCACATAATGAGGAAAAAACTCTCCAAACTGGACTAAAGTAAAAAACATACCGTAACTGAAACATGATGGACCAACACAGAAAGACAACCATTCATTCTCACACTCATATTGGAACTGCCAGGTATTCTAATCCAAGCATGTCTTTTGACTGTGGGATGCCCAGAGCCCACACAAACCCCGGACCCTGTGACTGCGAGGCAGTGCTGTTTACCACCGCTCTAACATGAGAGCCTAAATTACTGTCAGTACTTCTTTTCTGTTTTTTGTACACAAATAAAAATAGCTTTTATATATTATTTGCAAGATGATACTAAATCCTCTAAACTGTGTGAAAAATCATTTAAAAATAAGCAAATGTATCATGTAACCTGGTCTCATGGCAGAAAATACCCATATGTGAACAATCATATGCAGAGATTTTCTTCATGTGGTACCAAATCACAACAACTGTTGCCTCAAGGTCCTTTATATTGTGAGGGAAAGACCTTAAAACAATACAAAGGAAACCCCAACTATCATATGCCCCCTATTAGCAAGCGCACATAGGGGGCAAGGAAAAACTCCCTTTTACAGGAAGAAACCTCCAGTAGCTCAAGCAATCAGCCAACTTTGACACAAATGAATCCCAGCATTTTATATCTGCAGGCCATGTCTCCAGACAATCTGAACAAGGCTACAAGGGAAACAGCTCAGGGAAATAGGACACAGGTGAAGTCAGTCAGGAAAATAATAGAGGGGTAGCAAAAGTCAAAGCCACAAGAGACGACTATCAAAGCAAAAGAGGAAATAACCCAAAAGATAGCAAGAAAGCACAGAGCCCAGAAACTACCGCTGACCACGAAACACTGACGATGCAGGAAGAATAAAGAGAGGATAACTTACAAAACTGAGCGATTAAACACAAAGCAAAACTCAGTATTCCCAGGGATCCACAGCATACTGGAATTTAAAAGGGAACAAATAAACATGAGCCTAAAAATACAATAAACAGAAAAGTGTAAACCTTGAACACTGGAGACGCAGGAAAAACCCCAAAGAAGCTCAAATTCAAACATATAACCAAAAATGTCTAAACTCCAGAGCACAGTGAAACCCAGAGACCTGGTTTGCACCGACTTGCAGACATTTTTTCCCATCATTCTCCACTGCTGACTCAGTGTCTGTCCTCCACATTTCCAAGACAACATCCACACATCATTCTTTACTTTGGCATCCTCCTTATGTAATCTGTGACCCATTTCCCTTCTGCTGACTCAGCTCGCAGCTGCCAGTGGTTTGCTGCATACCTTGGCAGCGTCCGCCCGCCATTTCTTTTCCTTCTCTTTGGGAACCAGACCTTTATATCTGTCCTGGACTGGACCGGCAGCTTTGGTTAGCGTGGAGCCCTTTCAGTGACCTTCATGGTTAGTTTCTTAGCCATTTATGACTCAGCTACTGGAATCGCTGACGGGAAACATCGGCTAATTTGATTTTGTCTTTTGGGAACATCTTGTGCAACATTTTCCTTCAGCTATTGTTGTCAGTAATTTTGGGCGTGTGTTAACAGTTGGAAAATGCACCGCTGGAGCCCAAAGAAACCAAATCAACCACCAAACTGTACTGACTGTAATAGCTACCCCTGTATTCTTCAGTTTCCCCTCATTTTTATATCTGAAACTAGGTGTGTTACTGTCTCATGTCACCGACAGTCTGAAATGATTTATTCACATATATCTCTGGTGGTGGCACCAGAATGAGAGATGTGATCAGAGGGATGCACACTAACACATCTGGAGCTGTGGGCCTGAAGCAGCTCACAGGCCTCGCTCGGTGTCTTGCACGCAGCCTTCTCAGGATTTCATGAGAACTTGTTTGCTTTACCAAATTCTCCAGAAATAAGAGAACCTGCACAACGTTTTAAAAACTTTATTAAGCTGTATAAATACATTTACTAGACTCACATCAGTACAGGTAAACATCACAGGTCAGCACAGCCGTTTTAATAGTTTACAGACATGTACAGTACTTAAAACATTACAGTGCCGTATTAAAGTACAGTTACACGTTCGATTTAGTCTCCTTAACAGGAGCAAGTTTTAAAACAAACTGAGCCGAGCAGGTCAGGCCCGAACAGCCTTCACATCACATCAGTGTCGTTTAGTCGTTTCTAATGTAAACCATGTAATCTTCTCTGACACGTGAACATCTGCTGCTTTTCTGTTTTACTTGTTTGAGACAGCTGATTAGACAAACCGAGACTTTTGAAGATGACTTTGTTTTAGTGCTGTTCAAAGACCAAACCATTAACTGTTTAAATAACTGGTACAATGATGAGTTTCAGTGCATATACAGAGGAGAAAAGAAGAGCAGGGAGAGATAAGTGGGTTGCATTTCAGCTGAACACTTCATGTAAGTCAGCTCTGCTGCACATCAACACTTTTTTGAAAGAGTCTCGTCCTCTTCCTGTACACTTCTCATGTTGTTCAAAATGCAGTGCAGCCATTGTAGTCGCGCTGACGAGACAGTCACTTTTTACAGGAGATAACATTTCTACAGAATATGAACTTACAGCAACACTGCTGGTTTTACATGTTAACCTCATATTTCAGGCTTCTAGTTTTATTGCTCCGTCTTTGTTGGCGTTTCTGTCCCGGCCTGCTTCCATCCCACGCTCGGGTCTGGTTTGAGGACGATGAAGAAGAGAATTAAGGCTTCCGGGGTTCAATGTTAGTCTTTTTAGTGCTTCTGGACTCAATGCATGGCTGGCGTCGGGGCGATCTGCTCCGCCGGTCCGGTATCTGCTGCTCCTCGTGCTGAGCTGCTCATGGCTCCGTGGTTAAGGGTGACCAGCGGCAAAGCGCTCAGCAGGGCCTTCTCCAGCTTCTGCTCCAAAGCATCCAAGCGGCGGTCCATGTGCTCCTTCAGCCTCTTCTCCATCTCCTCCAGACGGCGCTCCATAGCTGAGTCCAACTCCCTGAAGGGACATAAAAGAAACAGTAACACTTTTTGAGAAAGTTGGACTTAATAAAATCTGTGTGCATCAGCCGCTGGTGTTGCCGATTTATGAGGAGGTATACAGCTGAAGCCACTGTCAGACAAGTTGAAGTGTGCAAGCTGACACTGAATTAAAATAAAGGGGACTATTTAAGGTCAGTCAAACCTTTGCCTGATCATCACTAATTAGAGATGAAGTTTGTTGACCAGGTCGCTGGTCTGTATGTGTATTTCTACTGTGTGATTCTGACAGAGCGGAGTGACTGTGGGCGATTCTTGAAAATGAAGCCACATCAAGAGACAAAAGCCTAAACATAAGCTAAACCACCCACACAGTCGGTGCTGACCATCATCTTCCTCAGACCTCACAATCCTGCTGCATCCACACTGATTCAGCCAAACCACCAGGAGGAAACTTTCTAAACTGAAAACACTAAAAAGATAAATAAATAATTTTTTTCCACCTTAAATATTTTCAGTCTTTTTGCAACATTTCTGTTTTGGTGGTTTACATGCAGAGTCCAACAGCATTACTATTTTGCCCTCAATGATCCTGAAAAATCCACAAAATCCTCCATTTTTTTCTTTCCTTGATTCAGTCACACCAGTCTGGCAGCTCCAGTAACTAAACCAAGGAAACTCCTGTTCAGTCAGTGAGCGCTGTCTCTGATCCTTGTCTGCACACTGATGGTTACTGTACGACATCCTCACAGGGCACTCTCCTGCTTTATGAAATATCAGAAGGTAAAAGTATGACAGGCTTGATGTACTGCGCTTCCATATCGGTAATGAAGGCCTCAGTCATACAGGCCTAGAGGTCAGTTGCTGACAATTTAGCAACCAGGTGCTGGGAAAAATGAGTATTCCACAACAAGCTGGCAAGTGGTTGCTGGCGATTGCTGTTAAGCTAAAGCCCCTTCACACAGGCTTGGAGACCAGTCAGTCGCCGCCGAACAACTACTCACCACTAGAGAAAAGTGTGTATTCTGTGAGTGATCAGCAAATAGTTACTGGAAGCTTCAGGCAGTCTCTAGAGTGACATCCATTGTAAAGAGATATGCAGAAAACCTCCTTACATTTCTTTGGTCGCTAGCAGAGGGCTGCAGTAACCAGACGTTTGCATGGAAAACACCAACTTATCTGCAAAAACTCAAAAACGACTCAACACACAGCAGTGAATCTTTAACACAAACTGGAAATGGAGACAATCCACCTTCAATTTTAAAGCTGGCAATCTAATTATGCATAATGAAGACTAGTTAAAAATGTCTCTGTGAAACTCAGACTAAGACGAGTCTTAGTTTGGAGCAAATAAATGAACCCATCTCAGATTACAGCAGACGTAAAGTCAGATAATCTACAAACAAGCTGTTATAAAAAATGTTATTAACCTTCACGCTGTGATAAAAAGGCAATAAAAAGTAAATGTGCACGTGAACTCCAGACAAACAGCATCAGGGGGAAAGAATAAACAAAGGAAGTGAACACACAGAGAGAAAACACAAGGAGCTAAACTTCAAAATAAAACAGGAAGCAAACAGAAATGGAGACCAGGAATAATCTCACATAAACACAAATAAACACAAACACGTGAGAACAGAGGAAAAACTACAAAAACACAAAGGAGCAGAAAAACTAACAACAGCCAAAGACGATTATAAAAACCGAAACAATTAACATCTACTGTTCAAAGCAAGCAAAGCCTTTAAGTAATCTACACCATTTATTACTTGTCCTCGGTTTTCTGGCGTCACGCCTGAAGTCTTAAACTCTTTAAATATTTTAGTCCGACGACTCGTGGGAAAGACGTACCGTCGTGTCGCTGTCCTCGATGTGGAGTCACGCTCTGTCAGCCCACATGTGCTGCACAGATCTGAC